CACCACCGCGCTCCGACTTTTTGCTTTTAATTAAAAATATATGTAGCCGAATATAAATAAAATGTTTGTAGCCTAGCTACCATACCAATAAAATCACAAAATGTTTTTCAAACCTTTTGTGTTTGCCCCGGCAATTTGGACAGGTTGAAATGTGATTACCTACATTCTATTTGCCTTTTGATTTTGGCCAAGTACTCGGTATAAAATGAAAACATGTTCAATATTTAAATTCCAAACTGTTGACTTATCTCATGTGCAAAATATACATTTATTTTTGCCTTTTGGCAGGCGCATCAAGTGCAATTAGTTGTGAAAATAAATAAAAGCCCAGATTACAAGAGGCGTACATTTTTGTTTTGAGTGACTTTTGGTACTTCTCTCTGAAATATTCCATTAAAAGCGGAAAAAGATGTGCAATTATTGCTCGAGATGCTGAAAAAGTCAGTCAAATAAAATATTAAACTCTATTATTTAAATTGCCACCCGGAGAGGAAGTCGGGCGACTCCTTTCGCACTTCCCATCAGACTTTTCAAGGGGCGCAAGCAAAGTTTGTAGGAGTGAAAACTCTTTGTCGAGTGCAAGGAAAACAAGAAACAAAAAGCTCCTAGAAACGTGAAACGAGATTCTCTCCTTCGACGAACGGAGAGATGGAGATTGTAACGCGAAGCTGGCTAAAATTGAAGTAACATTCTATTATTAACAACGCCACTCGTTGCTGCCACTTCATAAACAGCAGCAGACTGCCAAGAGCCGAGAATGAGAAGAGCAATATGAAACAATGGCAGCAACAATGGATGATGGCCAGGCGAAGGACTGAAGGACTGCGAGATATAGGGGGTCTGAGGTACCAAAGGACCGAGGGACCCAAGGACCCCGGGACGGACTCACAGACAGGACAACAACGTGACGACGTCGTCATCGCCAACAAAGTGTTGACATCTTTTTGCCCATTCATTGTGTGTCCCCAGTCCATCCATCTCTCTGCCGCCCGGAACTCGCAACTCCCCCATCGGGCAACAATCCTTGACTAACGCTATTCGTCCTTTTTAATTAATTTCACTTACTGCAGTCTCTCTGTCCTACAGCCTTCCTGTCCTCGCATCCTTTTCGATGGTACAGAGAAAAAATAAACCTAAAATATTTAAAGTGATTTCAGGATTTTGGTAATAATAGAAATATTTATTACTCAGTGATTAAAATGTTATAATTTATTTAAGGATCTTGGCAATATAGATATATTATTTACCAAAAGTAATGATATTTTCTCAGTGCTTTCCTTCAGGTTGTCAATGTGACATGGTCCAGTCTCAGGTTGAACCCAATGGGTGATGGTGAAAAGATGGTGTTCTATGGGCTGCCATACCTAGTTTTGCCACCAGATAAGTTTTCTTCATAAATTTATAAGCGTCACGTTGCTGACACTCTCACATACATATCTCTCACACACTTCTTTTGCCACCTTCCCTTCTCACCTGTGCCCCAGATAGACAGACTAACAGACAGAAGGACAGACAGACAAAAAGACGGGTGAAGGCCTTTTGGGGCGCCACAGGAAGCGGATTCACAGAGGGATCAGGCTGGCACCCAATAAAGCTCAGTGGTGGGGAATAAAAAGGGGGGCAAATCACTTATGCAAATTGGCCAAGAATTTCTCGCATTGTTCGCTCTGTTGTGAGAAATAAAATTTTAACAAAAATCCAAGAGAAAATGTTGTTTAAGGAAAAGCATGATTTAAAGCGTGAGAGGTTTAAATCAATATTAGTTTTTTACCATTTCTAAAGATTTAAAAATGAATATTTTAAGGAGTTGTATATATATTTTTATGATGTTGTATAAACAAGTCATCTTTACGATTTCACAACCAAGATAAAACCTCGATAATAACCCAACAATTACTCTGTTAATCTCTGGCCCACTTAGCACCCTGCCTACATATCAAACCGTATCTCATCTTCCGGGTAGAGTTTCCGGGCCACTCGGCACCTGGCAGTCATCCCGTGCACCTGCCCTTTCACCTGGCCACTGGGCCATTATTTCGTTTGGGGCTCTGGCAGAATGGCCAAATTAAATAACCATGTGCTCCTTCTGCTCCGAGTGAGTTGAGTTATGGCCTGAGCTCTCCGTCGTGTGGGAATGTCGAAAATTAGATTTCCCGGACAACAGGTTTCCATTATTGGTGCTCCTTCGCATTTCGCTTTGCATAATACATAAATATTTTCTATTTGCCGTCATATTCCATTCGCTGGCTTAAAATGGGAAATGGGGAAACCTACTCGCACTCGCATTCGTACCGAGAGAGGTGGCGTCTGGGGTCTCGAGTGGCAGCAATAGGCACAGCATAAATAAGCAGGCTTTTCCGAGGCAGCCTTCCGAGGCAGGTGGAAAATGTGGGTGGGGCAGGTGGCATGGGGCATTTGGCTTGGCAGGAGCTTGCCACTCGTCACTCACCCATTTTGCCATTTGCCATTCATGCGTCGTCCTGGTCTCAGACATCATTCATACAAATGTCTGAGCCAGCTCCTGCGCCTTCTGCTCCTTCAGCTCCTTTAGATCCTTCTTGGCCATTGGATTTTCCCCTCCCTGCCTTTTTTTTTTATTATTTATGTTACTCATTCGACTCGTATCCTGCTTGTTGATTGCTTTGCCTACACGTGTAGTTTCTCTTTCTTGGCTCCTCTCCTTATTTACCAATTCCTGTGGCCCTCTCCTCACCTTTTTGGGGGGTGGTCGGAAAATGGGGTGGCTCTGGCCCCTTTGTTCACTCGCCCCGTCGCGCTAATATTATGAATGGCAACTCATGCATTGTAGCCAGTTTTCCTCGGTCTCAGCTTCTGTTTCTGTTCTATTGCTGGCTCCTCGGAAAATTGTGGTTGCCCTCTCACCTGCAAAATTTTCTGCATATGGGTAATTCAGGTGCGGTTTGGGAAACGGAAAGGGATTTTTTGTGTACCTATTGGAATGACTTTTCAAAATGGTGGAAAATTAATATTAAACAATTACTTATTATTACTACTTACAAAATAAATATCCAGTATTTTTTCTAAAAAAGTAAAAAGAAATAATATGCAAGAAATTGTAGTTTTTATTAATTTGAAATGTTTTAATTGGAATTTAACGTTTTTTTTGGGTATTTTTTTGTCCTTACATTCAAATTTTTATAAAAATGTAAGTAAATAGCTCAATATTTTTTAACTGTTTATAATTTTTTTTGTTGTTTCATTGTGTTTGTTTTTATTGTGTTTAATATTTTGTTTGAATATTAATTTTTTAAATCTATATTTCTATTTATACAGCAATTTATTTTTTTGCCGAACCCTAAAAACTCGCTAATCCGCTCCTGATTTTTCCGTTAACCGTAAAAGTGTCAATGTAAGCCCCCCTGTGTCCGTGTGTGTGTTCGTCCTTGCGTGCGTGCATGTGTGAGTGTTTATATTAGAAGAATCGTTGTAAGCCCCTTTTGGCCAAACAAAATGCTGCTAAATTGCTTCAAGAAGGCGAAGAATAGAGGCAAATAAAGTAGAGCACATAAGTAACAAGCACACACACACACGACCGAGAGGGAAAGTCTCCGGAAAAGCTGTGGGGGAAAGTGCCTGGGAAATTGGGGTGGAGCAGTCAGATACTTAAATCTTACCATTTTGCCCGCATTAAGTTATATATTTCACCTGGCCGAGAAAACTGAAACTGAACTGACGGAGTGCGTTTGCTTTTCCCCCAAAACAATTCACTTTTCCTGTGCATTTCCATCTGACTGAATCGGGGGGTAATAAAAAATTGAGGTCAATTTGTTTTGGCATGTTGAAAGGTTGACAAAAATGTACTTTCATATTCCATATTCCAACGGTTGCTTTATTTGCGCAAGCCGGAATGTATGTTTCCCTGCCAGCGACCGACATTGTTGTTAAATATAACAAAGTTTATTTATTTATTATTTACACTGCCCTCGGCACAACTGCCAAGGTTGTGGGTCTCCGGTCGCCGGTCACTTGGTCTGCAGCTCGTCCGCCCGTCGAGGCTTCCCTGTAATCTGTCAGAGATATTGCTCGCAGTCCTTCTGTCTGTCTGTCTGCGCTGGCATTTTAAATATTTAAGTCATTTTCATGCCCCAAAAGGGAGCAACATCATTAAACTTATTGGGTTTCGGTGCCGGGCAATTGCATTCGAAATGAGTGGGTGGATATGAGTGGGGGATACCTGCCCGGTATTCTCGGAGGATTCCTTTCTGTGTGGCTTGTGCCTTTTGTGCTCCGCCTTCGGGGGGCGTGTCTGTAAAGTTCGTTCCCGATGAATTTGAATGAAGAGGCGTCGACGTATTGATCCAATTTGCTAGAGGTGAAAATTGGACAGATCCCGGCTTGAAAATTACCGAACAAGTTGGGTAATTTTATGAACTCGAAGAACTACAAAAGTTTGGGTGATTTAATGGGCGGACCATAAGTTATAGGATATTAACAGGTCAAGGAAAAATAAAATAATGAACAGGGCATATATAATTTAAAATGGTTTAAACACAATTGTTAGAACAAAATAAATTTAAATAATTCAATCACAAAATATTGTTTTGAGTTTCTTTTTTTTTAAAGGATAATAGTTTTCCGAAGGCTGCATTGACTTTTCCCCAGCACAAAAAGGGTCCCCACGACTTCCTCATTCCGATTTGCATTCACATACAATTCCAATTCTGGCCAAAATCCACTTTGTAATTAAGAAAGCTTGATCGAACACGCTGCAGTATGCAGATTTTGCTTCGAATTCCCCCCAAAAGTGCTCCATATTATGCACTTTTCACCAGGGGGAAAATTTTCAGGATGAGGGGAAAGCTGAGGGGCGGGCCCCACACAGCTAGCTCTACATGCATTTCTCTGATTCAATTTGCAATTCAATATTTTGTTGCTCTTTTCTTTTTCGCCTGTTTCCCCATCCAAATTGTGCATAAATGAAAACTAATTCGGGCAAATGTTTTTCCATTGTTTTAATGTTTGGCATTTTCTATTTGCAGTGGCGAGTGTCAGCGACAGCCAGCGACTGATGATGGAAAAATCGAATTGAACAACAAATCACAGAAGCGGAGAAAACCAGAGAACAAGTGGAAAAGATGAGATTGAAAATGCAAGCAGCTGCAGGAAAAAGCGAGAAAAACACGAAACCGCGGCTAGACCAAATGGGAAACTTATGAAAAGCACTAAAAACCGAGCAAGTGCAAGCGAGAATAAAGGAACAAAAACAACGTCGAAAAGAGGAAAATTAAAGCAACAATTACCGGGAAAATCGGGGCCAAGAACCCTGGAGAATACACAAAAACAATAAACGCTCTTAGAGGAAAAGTCGCGACTTAAAAACTACGCCAAAAAGGAAGGGATTCCCATTAAATTACCCAAGAAAAATGGATACATTTTTCGCTGCGGCTTTCCACCGGCAGCTAGTGGCTTTTCTTCTGGTCCTGGCCGCAGCTTTTCCACTGGGCCAAGGAGAACAGCACCCCGCAACAGCCGATGAAGGTAGGTACCACCCAGTTTTCTAGCTCCCCAGTTCTCGAGTTCCATTTAATTTAGGGATACACAAAATTCACGGAAGTGGCACAGCATAAATAAATAAAAGGCACCGTAAAAACAACAAACAAACACATTTCGAATTGCGTGAAAACCTCAATTGAAATATAAACAGCGTAACCGCAGAAAACCAGTTGAAAATGTTTTGAATTTAATGCAGGGTTGCCACAACAACAGCGTCAATAACACACCCAGAAAACAAAATAGACTAAAAAGGGGCCTAATTACCTAAAATTTTAGGAAATATGGCCAGAAAAACGCGCCAAGGCCATGCATTACCTAAAATGTTGTCCATGTGGACTATATTTTGTACGCAGTCTTGAATTTATTTCTGGTAATGGTTACCTAAAAAAATGGCTAGTGGACTAGATTTTTAGGTCAGAATTACCTAAATATTAGGTATTTAAAAAAAAGCTAGGATTTTTACTATTGATAGTAACATATTTGATTATTTTAATTGCTTATATTGTATTATTCGGAAAAGCAAATATTTTATCTTTCTGAAAAAACAATCACTTTATTTTGTCCTCGGTGGGAATCGATCCCGGGTCTTCTGCGCGAGAGTCCAATAGGCTAGCCTCTGGTCTACGGAACTACTTAAAGGCCCTGCGGCAAAACCAAAGCCTGCTTCAAGGGGCTCAGGCGAATTCTATTTTTAGAATAGGGCACTATTACCTTAAAAGTAGGAAAATAGTCCACGTAGGTATTGATTTTATATATTGAAACTTTTCCATCACTAGCTTTAAGAAAAGTCTAAAAAATTTTTTAACATTAAACTTAAAAAACCGAATAATTTGTTTATTAATATTAGGGACCAATATTTGTATTAAGTTGTGAGTGATAATCGACTTTAAATTATTCCTAAATTTTAGGTCTTATGGACCAATTTGAAGGTTACGATGGCCTATAAAAATCTCTTTAGCTTTACCTAAAAAGTAGGAACATAGTCCACATGCTAATATTTTTAGGTAACCCATTACCTAAATCTGAAATTTTAGTCTATTTAAATTTTTTAGGTCATACGTTACCTAAAAAATAGTCCCACATTTCTCTGGGTGCACCGAACAACCAAAAACAACCACGATAAAAATGCCAGCGAAAGCAATTTAGACATTAACACTATTTTCGGAGGGCGGGACTATAAATTCCAATTAAAGCTGAAAAATACTTATTATTGTGCTAAATAAAAGAAACTATGTAGAATTTGATATTTGACAGGATAAAGGATTTTTTGTTGTGTGCCAACGGACAATACGAACCGAAATTCATAAAAAATTCAACATTTAAAATTGTTTTTTCTCCCCAGCCGCTGTTTTCCTCCGTAATGACATTTCACGGACATCCAAATGAAATTAGAGAACATGTCAATGAGTTTGTTTATATAAATGGGGCATGGCCCGAACCCAAAACCTCGGCCTGCGATTGCGTTTAGTTTTCCCATTAGGCAAACGGAGGCGGAACCCAACAGGCCAAACATCTGGCGGGCAAAACCGAAAACTACACACTGGCATTGAGGGTTAATTGCACAGGGAAATGGGAAAGAGGGAAATTTAATTTTTGACTTTCCGGATCCCGGGGATCAGTGCCCGAAAAAATAAATGTCGTGCTTCAATAGCAAAGCCCAGCGGGAATAACTGAATGGTGACTGCAGCTGCCATTGTAAATTTTAGTAATTACCAAAGTGTGACTATTCAAAAATTAATAGTTTTTCTGTTAAAAATAATCTTTGCTTCCTATTATTTATTTATAATAAATATATGTTTTAAAGCTCATTACCAGAAAGAAATTGCATCAAATTGTTAGAAAATTGTAACTTTATAGATTGTTTTTGACAGTCCTTCCGCTTGAATTGTGACATGTGGAAAATCGCATTTGAACTTTTCCTCACCCTTGTCACCCCTCAGCGCTTCGTCACCCTCTGGTTTATATTTTCCCCACCCCTCGCGATCCCGAGATCATCATTGTGTCATTGTCATCAGTGTCAAAGCCAAATGTGATTTAAACTCGATTATTCTCAATTATTTTGTTACATGCATTTCATTTCCAGTGACTCAGGCCCCCTCCCCACCAAAAAAAAAGACACCCTAAAAACTGGAATTATTTTTCTGTGCTTCATGCTTTTATTGGTTCACTTGAGTGGATTTGGTCTGGGGACTTTATTTTTTCCCTTCCTTCGCTTCGACTCGCTGCATTTGTTTGATTGAAATTGATTTTGTCTCGCCTGCGGGGATTTGTCGGAACGGAATGCCAGACTCCAGAACCAGACCTTATAAAACATTATTTTCAAGTACTCTCGCTCTCTCCCACTTGACTTACCCGAGTTGACTCCTCCAATAAAGATTAAATTCATGCCGAATGGCCTCTCATTGAGATATATGGTGAAGGAAGGGAAAGGAAACGAAAGGAAGGAGAGGTCTTTCTCTAAGTGCTTTCAGATGCTGCCTCGTTATGGTAATCTTGTAATGCCCCCCGCGCCCCTGGGTTTTGACTTATTTATAACACCATTCGAAGTGATTACGATCTTAATTGTAAGTGATGCACTTGTTCGCATGCGAGTACATGTAGGACATAGTTTTTCACCCCCCAGTTTAGCAGAGGGTCGCAACTATCCCACACACACGGAAAGCGGCTGTCCCTTTTCTCACTCCCAGCTGAAAGGTTCATGCCCTTAACGAGGCTATATCTAATCAAATATTCAACCTTTTTTTAGTCGGCTAAACTGATTTCATGGCAGCGATAAGCAAATATCTGCCATTCCCAACAAATTACTTGTTAACAAGTGCATTTTAATGTTCAGCTTTTTGGCCAAATTGTGGCACATGTGTGTGTATTTTGTATTTCTCTGTGTTTTTCTGTGGACGGAGTGGCCACAACTGAAATTCATGTGGGCTATAAAAAAAAACCGACTAAACACAAGCCTACAAATGGCCAAAACCCTCACTTAGTGTGTGTGTGTTTTGGCCAATTGGAACAGAAAATTGTGAAATGGTTTTTGTGCTTTGTGATTGCGGCCCTTTTTTTCCGCTTCTGCTACCTCGATTTCAATGTAATTTGAACATGCAAACCGTATGCTTAACTGCAGTATATACGGTCATGGGCGTCGTTAAGGGGTGTTAGAATTAAAATTAGGACAATATGGTTAAGATTTTAAAGGGTGTAGGATTTGTCTTAGCTTGCGGTAGAGTATTAAAACAAAGTCATTCAAATATTATTAAAATTCTCTCAATTAAAAATAATTTACAAAGTCAAAAACTATGTAAACGTTGGTAATGGGTTGTCTGTCAAAAAAGGGCGTTCAATCAAAGTTCACCATGTCAAAAACTGGCATTTTTCTTTCGCTTTTATAAAATTGATTTTCCGCATTTTTCCGCTTTTCCCCCTTTGCGAATGAGACGTTGATTACCCGAGTTAAATCGAAAATGGGATTCAATTTCTACACAATTCCATGGATTAAACTGTTAACTTTCGATCTAATTAAATGGATTGGCTTCGGTTTCCATTCACGGAACTCGTCATCAAGAGGGGCCAAAGTACGTCAGTAAAAAAGGTCGGAAAATGCTTTGAATAATAATCCGGGGGAGGTTAAAAAATCAAATCGGGAAGAGGTCGCAGCTGTTTTGACGCAGAAATAATCCATTAATTCAATAAATGTGTAGCGCGAGTTTTTATCTTTTTAAAACGTTGTTTTTTTCTTCCTTTGGCGCCATTCGCTTTGGAAGTCAAATATTTGTACAATAATTTGTGGAAAAATGCTGGCGGCAGCAGCAGCATCTGGTGACGAAATCAAAACCGATCCCTGACCGGGACTAAGCGCTCCTGCAAATAAGCGGCGGCGGTCCTTTTCCCTATCACCGTTGCTCATTTTAATCTTTGATTTTCGGGAATATTGGCGGAGGACAAGCGAGGACCCCCGACGCAGGACCCTCGACCCACAACAGGAGCTAAGCACACAGACATGGTTGCAAACATGGAAAATACTTGAAAAATTACTCACCCGCAGCGGCGACGCAGATCCCAGAATCCGGAATCCAAAACCCGGCAGCAGCCGGCAGCCAGAATAAATGAATGAATGAAAATGTTGTGGAAAATCCCAGGGAAACATTTTGAGCAAACACACATGCATGTGGAAGGGCCAGAGGGTGCCGGTGAGGATTTCGGGTACGAATGGTTACGGTTACGGGCACATTCACATTCGATGGCCAGCAGCGGGTGGCTCAAAAATCAATGGGCTCAAAATATTAAAGCGCTCGATTTCCATGTTTTCCATGTTTGCCAAAGAGCCCTCGATCCCGCCTTTTCCTTTTTCCCCCTTTCCCCTGCTCGATTTCCGTGTGTGCGCTCCGATTTCGATTCTGATTCCGATTCCGCTCGAGATTGCCGTTTGTGCATTGGCGGCTGCCTTTTCGATTTGTAAATTGGCACTCAATGAATCAATGGATTTCGCCTCATTTTTAGTTCTGGCCGCAGTGGTCAGCGAGGGAAGCTTCAAGAGTTGGGAAAAATATTTAAGGAGAGAGGATACAAACGATTTTTAACCAAAGAATGAATAGAATCTTATAATAATGTTTGGGGAGTATATAGATTAATTCAAATTCAACGATTTATTTAATTAAAAAATGTTATATACACTCCTCTTGCTAAAGAAATCATTTTTTTGATTAACAACAACATCACTTCATAAATCATCCACAAAGAGAAGACCGACTTGGGTCAAAAATTGGGGGAAGTTTGGTATTCAAAAATTCTGCAACAACAAATCTTTTCTAAAATTTCCCCCACAACTAAGGACTGGTTTCGCCATTGTAATAGGTATACATTTTTTCCCTTTTCCCTTAGCGTTTCAGATCAACTTTTCGATCCCCCTTCTCGCCATCTCCATATATGCTCCACATACAAATCAGTCAAAGTGTTTTTCGGCCTTTTCATCGAGTATATTTTTTCCACGCTCTTCAGGTTTTGAGCAGACTGATCTCATATTTGTGTGGAGATTTCGGGCAGAGTTTCTGGCATTCGCTTATAATGTACTTGACCTGGGTGGATATTTTAAAGGCAGGCGAAGGGAAATGGAGGCAGACTTCGCCTATCGCGCGGCACAATAAACTGGTAAAAGTGCAGTCTGGTTTCTATGCATCGGTGTGTGTGTGCGGTTTTTGCGGGATGTCCTTCCTTTGAGCCTGTGGCCGTGACTGTGGATTCGCTTCGAGTGTGTCCTGTGTCCCTCCTTCCTTTTTGGCCGGCGAACGTGTGGCATGCTCCATTTGTGCGCTGATATACGGAATTATGCTGAAATCACGTTCCCACACAAAAATGTAATGGAAGGAGAGCGGGCTTAGGATAAGAGTTTTCCTCTCCTGCATGTGGAAAATCTCGGCATGAAGGAGCCACCAAGAAAAGTGCTTCCTGCATAAGCGATTTTCCACTGTCGATGTGTTTGTTTGTGTGTGGGGTCCTTGCTTTCATGTTGTTTCTGCTATTGCTGTGCATTATTATGTTTGTGTCTTTTCCTCTTTCGGGAAATGCTTTCAACTATTTTTATAGCAGCAGGAGTGGCTCAAAAATAAAGAGCGAGCGCAGGAAAAAACCGTATGTTTACTTATGTAGCTGCCTGGCATAGAAATCGATAGTAATCCACTTGATCGATACCGTCGTCGTCGTCCTGCAGGGTGAATTGGTAATTTGACAAAATTATATGACATGGGAAACCAATTTGGAACTGGGAAAATTAATTTGGTTCGATTTGTGTGGTCTCACAAGTCATTGAAATCAATTTTTAATGTAATTAGGGGGGAAAGTTCAAGAGGGAAGTGAAAAAGGAGGCACTTGACACAAGAATACCCTGCAATCAGTGTCTGTTATTATTACCCACTAAATAATTCACTGAACGTGTGGCCGGGAAATTGAATCCATAGCTGTAAAGATTATTTTCAAGGCCTAAGCTTTCTTATCAACTAATTCGTCGGTATTTATAGAAACCGAACACTTTAAGTGCCGCCTCGTTAAAACTTAAACGTTTGATCCAAAATCAATTGGTTAAATCTGAGAGCCGGCTATTTTAACCCTTTTTTCCTGGCTTACGGCCAATTTAACGATCACACCTTGAATGGGTAGTAACTGTCACCTCATCTCCATCACAATGCGAGCTGTGAATGACTTTGAATTAATGGGCCAGTGTGTGTGATTGGGTTAGAATTTCATCCGACGGATGATGCCAATCAATGGCCACTTTTATTGCCCCTGCCATATAAACCTGGATTTCATGAGAGTCACTTACTTAGTTGATGGTAGTTCAGTGCAGTGAAAGAAATCCTTTCTTAACTCTTATCTGATTTATGAAATAAAATCCTTGTCTAGACAATTTTGTATACTGTATGCACTTTATGTTCAAAGCATTTCTGTGCCCTTGCAAATGCTCAACATATACTATTATTTTTTCGTTGTGTACCATTTCTTTTCCCCATGATAAATGGTGGGCGTGTGGAAATCAGGAGAGAAATCACCTCTCCAGGGGGATGATGACATGGCAAGTGACATGGCCAAAATCAAATCATTGTCTCAGCGGCGTAGGAGGAAACATCCTCCTGCACTCTGCTTCAAATTAACTCGGGGGAAAATGGAGAGAAAGAAAGGATGCTGAAAAATAATGGAGATTTATCAATCGCATTATCTAGCCATCAATCTTGTCAAAAACTGATAGATGAGCCATTATCTGACAAATTATCTGTCGCGCGTGTGTGTGTTCGATGGGTTTGAGATTTACAAATTAGAGTCATTCGGTCAATAAATATTCTCCAACCGATTGATGGGTGGATTTTCTCAAGAAAAATCATGGGATGGGGTTGGATTTCTCCCAAGTAATAAATAAATTCTGCTCATCGCAGGAAAAGTAAATTATAAAATACTTCAATAAATAAAATTTTTTTGGATACAAGTAGTTATTATTCAGTTATTTATTTTCCAAATAATCTACTTAATACGAAATGGGAAACGCTATAGTTTTGACTTTGTCACCAATGACATGGGCCTCGTAGTGAAAATTCTTCTCAACTACAACTCCATTGAGCTGTTTGGGAAATTGAATAGATTCATCGACGCAGTTGAAAGTCCATTGCCAAGCCTGAGAAAGTCTGGTAACCAAATCGAAGCACTGCGCCAATTTCGATGACCACACAGAAACCGAGTCGAAGTTCAGGCCTTCCCGCTTATAAAGCTTTACCACTTCATTGAGATTTCGAAAAGTACTCAAGGTCATCACAGCCGTGGGCTTATCACCGAAATAGTACTGGGGAAAATCCAAAACTATAATGGGCGATCCTTTCATCCTGCGACCATATCTTTTTTTCGTATCTGTCTCCTCGAATTCCTCGATGTGAATGGTTGAGCAGTTCATGCGGTCGATAAGCTTCACCGTTTTCAAGTAATTTGGATGGTGTTGAATGCGCTCGTTCATGGGCTTTAAATTGGCACGGATTTTCTTAATCACCTCGTCCCTTATTGATTCCTCCACCAAAACGGTTGCCACCAGGCCACTTCCAATCGGATGGATCAAATCGGAGACTATAGCCCCTATAACCTGGTCCATATCCCCACTGTCGAATAGAATCATTATGCGCGGAAGGACCCAATTTTTATGGGTTCCATCCTCTGGATAACTGTGGACATGTCGCGAAAGTAAGGACAAGTAAATGTCCGAAATTCGCCCTTCCTGGTCAGTCATTAAGTAACGCTTGGAATTTGGCTATTGCTTACATATACTTTTAATTTATTTGAAGGCAAAAAGTAAAAGCACACTTTTTTGTTTGATTTACTTAAATGTTTAACTTTTATTCGTATCTTATCTTCCTATAATAAAAATGCGAGCTTCAGACATTTAAGCATCAATAAATAAACTCAAGTCAACGGCGAATAAATAATTTAAAATATGGTATTAACTTGAAAAACAGTCGGATGGAGGGAAAATTTATGAGACGCCTTTTAAAGTGTTTTTTTTTCAGACCGAAAAACTGTCCATGAATATTCACGAGTAATTTACAAACTAGCTGCACTCCCCTGCTTTTTCGGATCCAATTTGTTAATGAAGTTATCAACGGTTCAAGTTAGTTTCCCTTGGTTTCCAATTCATTTGCATATCTCGAGGAGCACCGCTCTCGTTGTTTATGTTTATGGGGCTTATAATCTGCTTTTATAGTTTGTTTACTTAATTTTCTGTAGCTTTTTGACATTTTGCTCCAAATTAAAAAGAGCACACACACAAAAGACGAGGGTAGTATTTAAGGAGGAGGTGGGCGTGGAAAGGGAGGCGCTGACGTATAAATATTCCCATTGCCCATTCCAAATACAGAAAATAGAAAAAAAAAAACGAAACAAAAGCAAAAGTTTTCGGGCGGAAGTGGCTGCGACGCTGAAACACAAACAAAATGATACCAACGGGAAAAAAATGCAATGAAAACAAAAATAATAATAGCAGCAGCCAAAAAATGGGAATACGAATATTGCTGCTCCAGTTTTTTTTTTTATAACGAGACTTGGAGTGTGGAAAAGTGAAATGAAAATCGCACAAAATATGCACATGAATTTAGTTTCAATTTCACATAAATCGAAACGGCTTTAAATGTTTTCAGAGTTGTAAAGAAAAAGTTAAACAATTTAAACACGTTCAGTTAGGATAAAATTATATATATGAAGCTAAATCCTAACTTAAATTTAACAAAATATCTATTAAATGCAAACCCATTATTAAATCTTTCTAAAATTTGAAAGACAATTATGAATTTATAAAAAATAATTTAAATAGTTACCAACTTTTTTCTATTCACCCAAATTATGTTACATTTTTGTCTCGCCCTTTGGAGTTGTGATTAATTTTTGCCCTGGGAGCCTTTATTATTTCTTTGACGCTGACAACTGTCTGGGAGCTGTTGTTCCAGCTTCTGGTGGGCCCATTCATGGCTCCTAAGTGGCCGAAATGTTTTTGTGCCACGTTATTAATGATCAACAAATTCCCCTGACATTTCGTTTCATTTCGAAGTTGACACGTGCGCGGGGGAAACCCGAAAACGAAACCGAAAAGTTGAAACTGTTCCGCGATCCACCCCCGTGCCTCGAATTATTCTTTTTTTTTTTGTCATGATCCAGTGCTTAGAGTCACATGGCACATTCCCCATTTCAAACTCAGACCAGAGCAGACCATTCCCTGCTAGTCTCTTGTTGCGTTAGTGAAATGAAATGATTTTGAGTAATTTATTTTATAGTCGCGCTGAAGTATTTATTATTTTGAAAAGCGCCGAACAATGCCATGATTAATTTCACTGCATGTGGAGCAAGTGGCCAACCGCACCGCCCCCTCTCCACCGCCGCCCCTGAATCTGATGGCTCCCCTAATCCCTCGGAAAATTCCTTGCGGCATCGAAAGTTTTTCTTTTTCTGGCTGCCATTGATTGCCGAACATATTTGGGTTGCTGCTGCTGTTTTTTTTTTCTTTTCTTGGGGGTTCTGCGTGTTATTTATTCGATTTGATTTCGGTTCCTCCATCACCTCCTCTTCAAACATATTGCAAAAGCAAATGCTCCTCTCAATCTGAAAGGCGTAGTTACGGGCAAAGTTATAGCATCAGATTAAAAAGTAAAGTCTTTTTATTTTTCGCTAATTCTAAAACTACACTAAATACTATAGTATTTACAAATTTATAATATATATTGGTACATTTTTTATAGCATATTTTATTTTTGAATTCCCATGAAACTAAATAGTTTAGGAAACAATCTAGAATGTAGAATATCTATAAAGCTATATTACAGCCATACATTTTATAAGGTATTTTTTAGGCTATAGCTGTAATAAATAGCGCATCATAATCTTATGTGCGTTAGACCAGATTGCTTGTATTTTTTCCACCACGATTGTAAGCTGTTTTTCCTTTGTTTTTTTTCCTTCTGCCCCCTGGGCTATAATTCAGAATCAATCGTTATGCTTTTGGCAGCTTGCAAATTTTTCTTTATTATATCATATTAATTTTATGAGTCTTGTTTTTCCTAAACCGCCTTTGGAGCACACTCCCTGCCACTCTTATCCCCCTCATTCGCTATCGTTTTCTCGTTGGTTTATTGCATTTAAAAGATATTTTTCATATCAATGAAGCCTCCATATTGGGGCTCACACACACATACACTCGCCAAACCACCAGAAAAGGAAAACAAAGGAAAAGGAAAAAAGTTTGCTAAATTTCCTAAAGTCATGCAAACATTTTTTACATATATCGATTTTTTGTCGGCTGAGGTCGACGGGGGTGAGCTCGGTCTTGTTATGACAGGCTCAAATTGGGTGCTATCAAAATTATATATTATTTTGCATAATATCTTCTTCTCCGGCTCAGAGTCTCTAGGATAGGTAATTTGATGCGGCATGAATTTCATGTCCCACAACGATTAGGTTTTGCCGCCGCCCACCACCTTCTACCAACCACCACCCACTTTGTTTTGAAGTGGGTGCACTTTCCCTCCGAAGCGACTTTAAGCAAACTTTTGGCGAAACTTGGAACGATGTCTCATTTGTTTGGGGAGCAGCACTTAAGCACTCTGATTGTCTGAGCTTTGTCAAAGGTGAAACGGCAGGTGTTTCCCGAGAAAGGAAAAGGGGTCGGAAAAACCAAAAGAACTTCCTAGATATTCAGCTTAATGCAGTCTGAGAGCTTCACTTTTCAGAAAGCACATAGGAAAAACAGTGGAGGAGATGCACTCAGAGAATATAATAATTCGATAAGTAGAAGCTGGAGTGGGTAAAACTAAAAAAGTATCAAATGAAATACGCTTTCAACGCGTCTAAAAGTATGTTACAATATATTTAGAGTCTTGAAATCCAATGGATTCACTCCAAAAGATGACTTTGGATTTTCTATAGAATACTTTTAGACAAAGAAAAAGGGAAATTAAGAATCAAACTTTTTTAATTAATCAAGTAATTTTTATACCCTTGCAGAGGGTATTATGATTTCAGTCAGAAGTTTGCAACGCAGTGAAGGAGACGTTTCCGACCCCATAAAGTATATATATTCTTGATCAGCATCACAAGACGAGTCGATCTAGCCATGTCCGTCTGTCCGTCTGTCCGTCTGTCCGTCCGTCTGTCCGTCTGTCCGTCTGTCAGTCTGTCTGTTTCTACGCAAACTAGTCTCTCAGTTTTTGAGCTATCGGGATGAAACTTTCCCAAAAGTCTTCTTTCTATTGCAGGTAGTATATATGTCGGAGCCGACCGGATCGGACAACTATATCTTATGGCTCCCATAGGAACAATCGGAAAAAAAAAACTTTAAAAAATTCTAGCTTCGGTGTTTTTTGAAATATTACCTTCTACTTTTGGGGATGTTATTTTTTAAATATATCTGAATTTCGAATTAATTAGTTAAAAAATCTGACTACTATATCATATAGCTGCCATAGGAACGATCGGAAAATTAATGGAAAAGTAATAGGAAATAAATTTTAGCTTCTTTGGATTTTATTGTATTATCTTCTACTCTAGGATATGACTCTTTTTAAATATTTCCGAATTTCAATTTTAATTTAATCAAAATCGGACGACTATATCATATAGCTGCCATAGGAACGATCGGAAAATTAATGGAAAAGTAATAGGAAATAAATTCTAGCTTCTTTGGTTTTTATTGTATGATCCCCTACTCTAGGATATGACTCTTTTTAAATATTTTCGAATTTCAATTTTAATTTGATCAAAATCGGACGACTATATCATATAGCTGCCATAGGAACGATCGGAAAATTAATGAGAAATATTAGAAAATTGAACATTTTTGCGATTTGTAAATTAATAGGAATGATCTGCAAGGGTATATAAGCTTCGGCTGGCCGAAGCTAGCTTCCTTTCTTGTTATAAATATTTTTTCGAAGTGCACTAAAAGGTGAAAGAGCTTAAATAATATGTTCATTTCAAGCATTGACTTCTGCTCCGTGTTGGTACTACAAAAGGAAATTACCGCCAGGGAAACGTCCGCAGAGAAATTCCTTGAGGTGTCGAACCATTTATGACCTGCCATAAACACGTGTAAATCCCGTTCATTATGGAAAAGTCACGATTTCTAGTGTCAATATCGTAAATACAGACAACTCCGACTCGGAAAGAACAACCTCATGACCGACCTCATGACCACTTCCATTTGGCATTCCCAACTTCCCCCATTGGGGCAATAAAACCGAGAACCCAATCGAAGCTCCCACATAATCTGTATCCATCCATCCATCCGTCCATCTATCTACGTATCTATCCATTTGGGTATGTGTCCGTGTATCCGTATCTTGAGCGCTACACTCGATTACCCCGCTCGGCGATCTAATCACTTTGAGTGATGGCTTCGGTGCATTGAGACTCCGTCTAGCTCCGCGTCTACCGATATCCGTATCTTTGGCTGCCTTGGTATCCGTATCTATATACGAAGGTCCCCTTTCAGACGGACTATCTATCGCCATTGCGTGTTCTGTTTGCATTTTACAAATGTCAACAAAGGCAAATGCACTTTGAGGTTCTATTAGTGGTCAGGTGAGGGTTGATAAGCGCGGTGGAGCGCTGCATTTGATGGACGGCCAGCAAGTGCGATAAGTGGAACCTCCTCCACTGGCGACACTCGCAGTGCTTTTCGAGTTAGCACTAAAAAAACGGTTAAATTAATTAATTATATATTAGGTATAATTAAGTATCTGACAAAAATTTAAAAATAATTTACAATTTTTTTTCAAATTCCTTATATTTAAAAATTATAATTAAGGTATTTTAATTTATTACAAAACATTTTCTCTCACAGT